TGCGTGAAAAACACAGTACAGACACACATCAAAATAAAGAAGATCAACGGTAGAGAAACGCATATTTTGGATGTAACATTTAAGTTATTTTATGACATTTTAGCCTTTTAAAAGTGAAAATCAAACGGCATTCTTTACTAGACCTGTCAATCTAAATACTTGGAAACTAAAGTGCATTGGTTTCTCTGACAAAAACACTCTGTCTATTGCTGCATGAAGGCAAAATAGTTATTTGACAGTGTAGGTGAAGAAATTTATCAAGTTCTATAGATATTATTGTGCATTACTTACAGTTTTTTTGGAATTGAGTAATATATGTCATGAACAAGATATAATTTTTCAAAAATGCTAACCCCTTCGAGCACTACTACTCTTCTGTTTTGCTTAAACAACTTACAGCTACCAATACTAATTATTTATATGTACAAACTAACATTTGGGAATTAAATGATAAACAACTTGTTAAATCTTTGTATTTTACATCAAGCCTTTGAATTAGTTCCTTTTATCTTTTGGTAAAAAAATATTAATGAAAGACTTACAAATCAAGTTTCTTGAAAATAGTATTTTGTACAAAGAAACTAAATAATTGGAAAGGTCACATGTTGAAGACAGACTTTGCTTCTTTGACTAGGTTGCTTGACCATGAGCAAATTTAAATTTGTTTACAATTTGTTTAAAGAATTCTTTTTATTGATTTCTACTAATTCTTCATAAGACACAAAGAATTTCTTTGCCATCTATTTTTGCTTCTTCTACATCCAACTTCATTGTAACCAATGCATCCGATGTGAATTTGTGGATCACCTGGAATCATAACAAGCATGGATTTGATGAGATGAGACAATAATATGTTTATATTTTCATGCATATTAATGATATAATCATAATATGCAACAAATCTTAGCACATTGCTCAACACACTACTTTTATCTTGGTTTTGAAGTAGTAACCTGTTTACTATAACAATAAATACTTCATTTACAGAAACGCTAAGTACTACTTTAAAACTGTTTGCATAAATCCAACTTTCCAAACCCATTATAATTGTCTACACTATACATTCAGTCAAATTGAGCAGGCAAACAGTTTAATAGTTATTTTTATTATACAACATATACCATAGTTCTCATTAATTTTGCATGGCACTGCATTCAATTTCAACACAACTCTGTTGTAAACTTTCCCTTCATCTTTTCAAAAAAAACATGAACAAATTATGCCCCATTTTTGGAGGTAAACTCAATTCAAATCAGGAGACTTTAGCTTGATGCCTTGATCATGATACAAGATGGATGCAAAACTCGATAAAAATTGACAGCTTCGACACATCTGGGGAGCGATTAAGTGAAGAACAAACAAGACTGGACCAAAATAACTTTAAATTAAAACTTAGTAGTAGAAACACTCTTCAAGTATTGTGTTAAAAACAAAATAGTAAAACTAATACTGTGCTACTTACCGGAGTTAAGAAATGTTCCCTTTTCTGTCGCTATTTCAGCATCCGCAAACCACAGAAGTTGGCAGTTTAATAAAAAAATTTTAAAAAAGTGTTTATGTTAGGAAAATAAATAGTTTTGATATTTTCTATACTCGCAATTGTGGTGGTCAAATCAGGGTGGGCGACGAAAATTTTATTTCATGAGCCCGCGTCTCTCCGCTGACTTTGACCACCAAAATCCGCCATGTTTTTGACCACGCGGCCGCGCGCTGATAATTTATAGTAATTTTGCTGACGTTTCCCCTCCAGGTCTTATAGAACTCAATGGTCGCGCGACTGATGTTTGAAATTCAAAAATTACCTATTCATGTTAATTAAAAATTCATTAATTATTCTTACTTTATGATCGCATTTACTTCGTGATAAAAATCCAGCTTTATTTATTATTGAAAACTAATGACTGATCCAATGAATATCTCGTTGGTAACCAGATCAGTTGAATTTTAATTGACCTGGAATAACCGACTGATAAGCGGGGTGACTTGACTGGTTCGACGGATAAAGGAGTCTATGAACGCCAAAAACCCTTATTTTATTGGTCAATGGCCAGATCAGTGGACAGTCTGGAATGGTCTTGACTGATAATAGGGTGGCCGGACGTATAAGGGAGTCCAATTGCTATCTTACAATTGGTTCATTTGAATTTTTGTTTTATTGTGATTGGTTTGACAGATTTCGACTGATAGCCAACTGAACTAACATAGTAAAGCTCACTGTCTGAATTGAATGTTTGATCGTTTCATAGTAATTTTTATAAGCATGATAGAAACTAAACTACAATCAGATGGAATTTATGGAAATCTTTTACAAATTCATATAATGACATGAATGCTGCTGTCGAAACTGTGAATTTTTCAAGAGGGTGAAAATTTATGGATAAATTGTAAATGCTTGGCAAAGACGATCTCGCGAGCGACATTTCAGTCATTGATGTTCAAAAGAAAGCCAACATTGTTTTGAGTTTTATCAGCAGAAATTTACATCCAAAATCGTAAGTAAAGGACAAGTGAAGTGTATGCATGAATGTAATATATCAAATGCTTCTAAAATTATTGTTGCCGAAGGACTTTTAGCTATGATTTCTTTAGTCTTTGGGGAATCGTGGCCGTTATATGGCAGCGAAATCCTACATTCATGCAAATATATTTCAATGGACAAAAAATCTGCAGCCATAAGGCGCCATACTATTATTTACTTTATCATAAACAAATGTTTGGGGCTTTTCAGTTTATGATCATTGATCATTCAATCATTGGACAGTTATACTACATATTGTTTAAGATTTAGAAAACTAACATTGATTACATGAGAAGCTGTTTACTATAACCTGTGATTTTGAGTCTTCTGATCCATGAAGCTTTTTATTGTGACAATTTGACTGAAATGGTATTAAATTTGGCAAAATAGCAAAGTATTTTTCATGATCACTAGGTAATTTTTCTGATGATCATTATAATTTCTAAACTAAATTATTTCAGATTTACATTTAAACGAGCTTTGATCATATGAAGAGATATTTATCATAACCAGTAACCATGACACATGAAATAATTTTAACAATCATGTAATTATATAATTAAAGACATGTTGGTTACATTCTGTTTGTATTCGCAAATACAATGCTACTAGTGATTGCTATATAGCACACCTTGCATATACTTACAGGAGATAATAGTCTAGTGAAATGCCTAATAAAAATTTATGGTATTAAGCTGTCCTTAACTGCAAATTTTCACTCTGATAATTTTTGCTTAATTTTTGGTAGAAAAAAATTTTGAGTTTTTTCTCAAAAAGTGAATTTGCTGGCACTGATGTGGAGATGGGTAAAGGGTTACAATAAACTTGCATGGTTTGAAGTGTGAGCTTTTCTATGTCTATGAACTGTCACTTGTAGTACCAAATTTCTAACTTAACTCATTACATAGAGGTTTGAATGGGGGTCTCTAGGGGGGTCCATTCCTGACAACTTGGTAGAAATTTTGAAAGACTGTATCTGTTTTTGAATAGCATTATTGTAAAATAAATTTTACGTTGCTAGACATGCTAATGAGCCATATATTTGGCATGATAATGAGCCTAAATATTTGGCAAAGCATTCAAGTATTGTTCACATTCAGTATTGTTCACTTCTTTTTTTGAAAAAAACGTAAGCAAAATGTTGTTTTTACGCAAAAACGATGCCCACAAAATACATTTTGTATTGCTCTAAAACGCTGAAAATGGGATTTTCAAGGCTCTGAAATTCAAAATTTCTCAGAGGAGAATGCCTCAGACCCCCCCCCCAGGTGCGGAGCGGCTCCGACGTTTTATGACTGATGTTTGAAAAATCCTAGATCCGCCCCTGTGCTGGATAATGTTAAAAGAAATGTCTCGACATTAACAACGCGCGCACGAATTTTTTGTTCTTTATCATTAGGTTCGATGCACGTTTCATTTTCCTTCGTCTTGTTTCCGTTATCTTTGGCAGATCTTTCTGGTGGAATATCTTTTTCTTTGGTTTCATCTGTTTTGGGCAATTTCAGAATCAAGCTTTTAACATCAGCATCTGTAAGCGTGGATAGACTGTTCTTTGTTCGGCGAGACATAATAGTGATATTACCAGTTGATCAATTGATATCAAATTTTATACCACAAAAATCAAAAGTGGTATCAATAACTAATTTTTTGTCCTATAGTCAAATGTAGTAAAATCTGTGATACAAGCACTTTAACATAGATTATTCAAATCAAAAGATACCCTATAATTTCTTTTTTAAATTAAAACAGAACAAAACACGTCTTCGTATTTGTCTTCGCTCAACGGCTCAAGTATTTAGCTATAGGATTCCAGACTGCGGTCATATATCGTATAATTACGCCCGATGCTACAGCTACTCAGATTACATGAAAGGCTTGGATAACCCCGCTGCTAAGTTTAAAATAATTAATACAACTTACTTGCAATAGACACGTTTACAGATGAGCCAAAGGGATCAGGAGCATGGATAGAAAATTTATAAACACCAATGTAACTTTGAGTAACATTCTTTAACATTAGAGTTGCAGGTTTAAAAACTTCAACATCTAAACCCAAAGACTTAAGGACTGATGTACGATAATGTGGTTTTTTATCATCAATTATTCTTACAATTACTTGAGCTGCAGAAGAAGGAGTGTCAAATGTCCTAAAGGTCCAGCTCCGAAAAAGAAAGTTTCCAATCTTATTTAATGTCCAAGTTATATTGTGAGAAGATCCAGGCAAAATACAAATTTTGACCATCAGGTGGAGATATTATTGTTCCTGAAATTGAAATTTAGCTAATATCTATGACTGATAAAAGATAGTTTAGGTAAAAATACATCTTCTACTAACATAACAAAAGTAATTGATGTTTTAATTCAGGTTCTATTCAAAATTGCGAATAAAAATAAACTAATTAAATATTACTACTACAACAACTAAAAATACATCAAAAATCATTTAAGTAAAAAAAAGAAATGGATATTTGAAGTTAAATACCTTTGGCAAGACCAAGAAATGTGATCAATGTAATAGTCGAAAATACTAAATTTGTCTTTACCATTTTCACTAAAAAATTAAATGATGAATTTTAATGCTTATGATCTTTGAAAATAAAATCATGAGTCAACATGGTTAGTGCTGTGAAAATTCCAGTTTTTCAGCTGCGGCTTGTCAATTCTGAACTGGTAAAAATAGTCGAGGCTGCGGCCCATATCCGGTGCACAGAACTAAACATGGTGCATCAAAATAAATAGTAACTTCTACTCGTAAATGGGCAACATTTTGCGTAGCAATATGTTCCATTAATTCTACCACAGAAATATCTTTATCATTGCAATAAATTTTTGTGTTTTAATTTGCTTTATAAAATAAAAACAGTAAAACGTGTGCACTGATTGGAAGGCTGAGTTTGCATTAGCCTGGGTAAACGGATCTTAGCTCAACCTCAATCAATCGAAGAGATTTTGCAAACCGTTCATTAATGCACTTTTTTGAAAATTAAAATGCAAACCTTGAAAATCGTATGCAAACCTTGGAGATCTTTGTGAGAATACTCAAGCAGTTGCAAAACCTGCTTTGCAATGATCAGATCTTAAGTTCTCCAAAAGGTCTCCTCAGTTTGCATAAGCCTGTGGAAACATGGTAAACATTTTTCTTTCTTGACTTGATTGGGAAAGCATAAGATGAACATAAATACTGTTTCCTAAATATTGTGAATCATTGGATACATTTACCTCTCACATTACAATTATTGTATGTAGCCATTAGCATATCTTTAGTTGTGCTATGCGAATTATTCATGTGTTTACTAGCTGTAAAAACAGTAGATTTCAAACAAATGAGCAATGACAATGATCTAAAATTTACATAGCACAACCAAATTTGCAGGCTAACTTTCCTAATGTTCTTAACAAAATGAACTTGAAATTTAAGTCATTTAACTATGCAATTAAAGTATTTCTGTCTATACACAAACTATAAAAGAAACATTATTTATATATAAGGATTGACATTGCTTTAGCAAAATGAACTTTAGGAAAAGACAGTTAGCTGTACAGGAAAGTAATTTTGTGTAATTCTTAAGTAATAGTGAACAGAAATTCTTCTCTTTTCAACTAAAACACTTTAGTTTTGAATGAATTTTTATCTTTTACTAACTGTTTGTAACTATTGCAGCTGGCAGGGGCGGATCTAGGATTTTTCAAACATCAGTCATAAAACGTCGGAGCCGCTCCGCACCTGGGGGGGGGTCTGAGGCATTCTCCTCTGAGAAATTTTGAATTTCAGAGCCTTGAAAATGCCATTTTCAGCGTTTTAGAGCAGTACAAAATGTATTTGTGGCCATCGTTTTTGTCTAAAAACAACACATTTTGCTTACGTTTTTTTCAAAAAAAAAAAATGAAGTGAACAATACTTGAATGTTTTGCCAAATATTTAGGCTCATTATCATGCCAAATATATGGCTCATTAGCATGTCTAGCAACGTAAAATTTATTTTACAATAATGCTATTCAAAAACAGATAGAGTCTTTCAAAATTTCTACCAAATTGTCAGGCATGGACCCCCCTAGAGACCCCCATTCAAACCTCTATGTAATGAGTTAAGTTAGAAATTTGGTACTACAAGTGACAGTTCATAGACATAGAAAAGCTCACACTTCAAACCATGCAAGTTTATTGTAACCCTTTACCCATCTCCACATCAGAGCCAGCAAATTCACTTTTTGAGAAAAAACTCAAAATTTTTTTCTGCCAAAAATTAAGCAAAAATTATCAGAGTGAAAATTTGCAGTTAAGGACAGCTTAATGCCATAAATGTTTATTAGGCATTTCACTAGACTATTATATCCTGTAAGTATATGCAAGGTGTGTTATATAGCAATCACTAGTAGCATTGTATTTGCGAATACAAAAAGAATGTAACCAAAATGTCTTTAATTACATAATTACATGATTGTTAAAATTGTTTCATGTGTCATGGTTACTGGTTATGATAAATATCTCTTCATATGATCAAAGCTCGTTTAAATGTAAATCTGAAATAATTTAGTTTAGAAATTATAATGATCATCAGAAAAATTACCTAGTGATCATGAAAAATACTTTGCTATTTTGCCAAATTTAATACCATTTCAGTCAAATTGTCACAATAAAAAGCTTCATGGATCAGAAGACTCAAAATCACAGGTTATAGTAAACAGCTTCTCATGTAATCAATGTTAGTTTTCTTAAATCTTAAACAATATGTAGTATAACTGTCCAATGATTGAATGATCAATGATCATAAACTGAAAAGCCCCAAACATTTGTTTATGATAAAGTAAATAATAGTATGGCGCCTTATGGCTGCAGATTTTTTGTCCATTGAAATATATTTGCATGAATGTAGGATTTCGCTGCCATATAACGGCCACGATTCCCCAAAGACTAAAGAAATCATAGCTAAAAGTCCTTCGGCAACAATAATTTTAGAAGCATTTGATATATTACATTCATGCATACACTTCACTTGTCCTTTACTTACGATTTTGGATGTAAATTTCTGCTGATAAAACTCAAAACAATGTTGGCTTTCTTTTGAACATCAATGACTGAAATGTCGCTCGCGAGATCGTCTTTGCCAAGCATTTACAATTTATCCATAAATTTTTCACCCTCTTGAAAAAATTCACAGTTTCGACAGCAGCATTCATGTCATTATATGAATTTGTAAAAGATTTCCATAAATTCCATCTGATTGTAGTTTAGTTTCTATCATGCTTATAAAAATTACTATGAAATGATCAAACATTCAATTCAGACAGTGAGCTTTACTATGTTAGTTCAGTTGGCTATCAGTCGAAATCCGTCAAACCAATCACAATAAAAACAAAATTCAAATGAACCAATTGTAAGATAGCAATTGGACTCCCTTTTACGTCCGGCCACCCTATTATCAGTCGAGACCATTCCAGACTGTCCACTGATCTGGCCATTGACCAATAAAATAAGGGTTTTTGGCGTTCATAGACTCCTTTATCCGTCGAACCAGTCAAGCCACCCCGCTTATCAGTCGGTTATTCCAGGTCAATTAAAATTCAACTGATCTGGTTACCAACGAGATATTCATTGGATCAGTCATTAGTTTTCAATAATAAATAAAGCTGGATTTTTATCACGAAGTAAATGCGATAATAAAGTAAGAATAATTAATGAATTTTTATTTAACATGAATAGGTAATTTTTGAATTTCAAACATCAATCGCGCGACTGATTTGACATACTCCAGATCCGCCCCTGCCAACTGGAAGTTAGTTTAGTTTTCAACTCGGTCCACAGAAAAGCCCACAAGCATATATTTATCACAGGATAAGAATTAATGTAGTTGTAAACGGTTTACACGTACTTTTACTATGTTTTAATGTTTTGTCAGTTGAATTTTCATACTATTGTCAATAAAGACTGTGTTGTGTATACTGTGCTGATGACTGCCAGTAACTAAACACCCCCTAACTAAACAATACAACAGGACGTCCAAAAATATTTTCAAGAATCAAAGAAGAAATGAAAGCCAACATACTCATTTAGTATTTAATGTAGTGTTTCGTCTTGGTCTTTTAAAATTATGAAATTCAAAATGCATTAAACTTCTTAAAAAGTTTGGTTTAAAGCGACTTTAAGTTAAAGAGATGTTCATCAAAGCATATCATTACAAAAAGCTGTTGTATTTTAACGTATACACTTGTGTACCATATTATTGAAGATTTTCTCGAATTCAGATTAAAACTTATTTTCCTTCACAAACACAATTTTAGTATTGGCTAATTTTTACTCGGACTAAGAATTCTCGATAAGAGGTTCGTTTCAATAGCGCCTGTCGAATTACATGAATATTTACGCCAAAACTTTACAGCAAAATAATATTTTCATTCAAGACAACAAGTACAAGTACGATATTCCACTAAAATTACAGCAAAATGTAACATACCCATGTAATTTGGTTTTCTTCCGTGAGAATTTCAGAAAGACCCAATTTCCTGCTTCGCAACGTTTGACCTATGTGATGTCGTTGTTGATTATGCAGTTTCGATGGGCGTATTTCATATTTCTGTGCATATATTCACTCAATATATTCACTATGGTAATTCAATGGCGTATTTTTATTGAAATGATATAACTGGAATGCTAAGTGGTGATCATTGAACCCAAATACATTGAATAAAATAGATGTATTTACTCAGTGTGCCCCACCGTAACCAGACTTTCTGAAAATAAAAACCAAGCCAAGCTCCAAAACTTACTAAAAGCAATGAAAAACTACCGAATTCGGAGATACAGTTGTTAAAAAAATTCACAGGTTACGGCAAAAAATCAAAAGACAAATGCTAAATATACAGAAATCAACTCGTTCTTACATCAACTAAAATCATGAAGTCAAAAGAGATGAAAATGCAACAGAAGTGTCTACAACGACTTATATTTATCGTTAAACTAACTGTAAATAAGTCAAATTAAAAACAACATTGTTCAGTCTGTATCGGCCTAACATTCGATCAATACATTCAAGATCATTATATATTAAATGGAAAGTATACATAGTCAAGCAACTTTGGTGAAAACCATTATTATTTTTAAGATGAAAATGACATGAAATACAAAAAAAAGAATGATATTTGATCAACAAAAACAAATGAAAGAGTAAAATTCGTCCTTTTACCTTCGTTGACAGTGAGATTTTAAACTTTCCTGTTTAATCATGGCTTCACAACGATAAAAAATAACAATAGAAAAGAAAAACGTTGGTTCAACGAGACCAGACGGGACTTTGAGATGTGTAAGTGTGAATGACCCTGCTCTGGCAAATCCAGCAGGCAGCACGCTAATTAGAAAGTTCAGATTAGTCTAATTTTCCCATTGATTTGGTAACCATTGAAATTTTCATTTTATAGTTTATATTTTTCTTACAACGGGAATCCAAGATGTATAAGCGTGGCCAAGATGAACTGATCAGTTACAAGCTATATACACGCTTATCCATCAATATCATTTCGGATCAGTGGAAATTTTCCACTAAACTGCTATCCAATGAGATTTTTGGATTAAACCGCTGCATTATTAACCAACTTGCTTAAAGAAAATTTCATTTGTGAAAAAGACTTTGATGTTGGAAAAGAACAACAACATAACAATAATCACTCAAATTTCAAGATGTATATCAATAATAACTTTTGAAATTTTGATTTATAAAGTTAAAGTTATTGCTCTTGTTGTTTTAGCATTCAGATTGAGAATGAAATATCAAAACGTTAACAGTTTTATTGTTGCTCCCAAATGATGGAGGTTTTTGTATGTCTGGAGCATCGCGATATTAAACAGTTGGATTCTCCAGTACATTTGTTTATGTTTCAAGTATTACGACTGTAAATTTTCTAAAGGTCCCCGCATTTTTGAGGCTCTCTTTGTGTTGTCGAACACCCAACTAACCCTGTATTAAAAACGAAACCGTACAAACTGTAAATAATTTTTGTTACGATTGGCGCTCCATAGTAGATCACTTAAGGTGTTCTTAACTATCCAACTATGGTCATCTCTTAACTAGATGGGTCTCAAGGCATTCCCTAATCAAAGACAAATTTTGAAATTAAGATTTATGTTCATCAGAAATAAGATTTCGTGCTTTTTTCAGAGCCTTTTCATGATCCTGTTCTAAACAATTTGGTATACACAGGAAACAAGTCAGGAAAGCAGGTGTATAGTAAGATAAATAGAAAATACTTATTCAAAAACAGTATTACCAAACACTGTTATCAAAAACAACCAATGAATGAGTCAGAATGACCAGTGTATTTTCCTATCCAAAAATGGCTTCCTTCTGGAAATCATAAAGTATTGGCAGCTCCAAAGGGAGGAAAAGATGCAAAATTCAAATCTTATCAGAATATGTAAATGTTCGTAAAAGCGCCATTGCGACTTTACAACATGGAAAATGTTTATGAACACATGTTTAGAATAAATTTATGATTTTCTTGAAAACAAATTACTGTTCTCATAATTTCTGCTTTCGTTGGCTATCACGTACTCCGATTCATTATTTTTTTGCAAAGATTCATAATTATTATCTTCTATATTCCTTTTCGATATGTCCAGTTCTTGATAAGTTGTATCAACAGAATTTTTCCTAACTTCAGGTGGAGATTGAAACTGTTGAGTTTTTTTACTTAACCAATGTTGACGATAACGCAAAAAAAATAAAATAGAGACGAAAATTCCAACGATAATTCCAGATGTTAAAGTTATGAAAATAATGCACCACCATTCTATTTTGCACTGTTTTACTCTCTCTTTTTCGTCATCACAAAGAACGTTGCCTAGAGAAGAAGCATGGAACTTAAAAACATGAAAAAAAATCAAAAGAGTTTATTTGTATACAATACTAATATACATATGATAACAAGATTGGAGCATTTTGATTGAGCAATGGATAGATTGAATTGAACATTTCCATTATGTCTAAGGAAAAGGTCGAGATGTTAATTGCATTGTGTGGCCACTGCTAAAGTTTGCTATAAAAGAGCGATTTGCTTAAATTTTCTTTTAAGGATTTTTATCATCTCAGGTAGCGCATGCAAATTGAACAGAAAGAGCTAATAGTATTTTAAACATAAATATGATTTTATAGCATCGTAAATAAATTATCTTTTGTGTTTCAATCAGTAGATGAATATGTTGAAAGGAAAAATGATGTTGGAGATTCATATGTTAACAAATTTACTGGTTGGAATTCTTGACCATCAGGTGGAGATATTAATGTTCCTGAAATTGAAATTTAGCTAATATCTATGACTTATAAAAAGATATTTTAGGGAAAAAATACATCTTCTACTAACATAACAAAAGTAATTGATGTTCTTAATTCAGGTTCTATTCAAAAATTGTGAATAAAAAAATAAACTAATTAAATATTACTACTACAACAACTAAAAATACATCAAAAATCATTTAAGTAAAAAAAAGAAATGGATATTTGAAGTTAAATACCTTTGGCAAGACCAAGAAATGTGATCAATGTAACAGTCGAAAATACTAAATTTGTCTTTACCATTTTCACTAAAAAATTAAATGATGAATTTTAATGCTTATGATCTTTGAAAATAAAATCATGAGTCAACATGATTAGTGCTGTGAAAATTCCAGTTTTTCAGCTGCGGCTTGTCAATTCTGAACTGGTAAAAATAGTCGGCGCTGCGGCCCATCTCCGGTGCACAGAACTAAACATGGTGCATCAAAATAAATAGTAATTTCTACTCGTAAATGGGCAACATTTTGCGTAGCAATATGTTCCATTAATTCTACCACAGAAATGTCTTTATCATTGCAATAAATTTTTTGAGTTTTAATTTAGCTCAACCTCAATCAATCAAAGAGATTTTGTGAAACAGTCATCAATGCACTTTGTGGAAAATTAAAACACAAACCTTGAAAATCTTACGCAAACGTCGGAAATCTTTGTGAGAACGCTCAAGCAGGGGCAAAACCTGCTTTGCTTTGATCAACTGTCAAGTTCTCTAAAAGGTCTCCTCAGTTTGCATAAGCCTGTGCAAACACAGTAACACAACCAAATTTGCAGGCTAACTTTCCTAATGTTCTTAACAAAATGAACTTGAAATTTAAATCATTTAACTATGCAATTAAAGTATTTCTGTCTATACACAAACTATAAAAGAAAAATTGGTTATATATGAGGATTGACATTGTTTCAGCAAAATGAACTTTAGGAAAAGACAGTAGCTGTACAGGAAAGTAATTTTGTGTAATTCTTAAGTAATAGTGAACAGAAATTCTTCTCTTTCAACTAAAACACTTTAGTTTTGAATGAATTTTTATCTTTTACTAACTGTTTGTAACTATTGCAACTGGCAGGGGCGGATCTAGGATTTTTCAAACATCAGTCATAAAACGTCGGAGCCGCTTCGCACCTGGAGGGTTTGAGGCATTCTCCTCTGAGAAATTTTGAATTTCAGAGCCTTGAAAATGCCATTTTCAGCGTTTTAGAGCAATACAAAATGTATTTTGTGGGCATCGTTTTTGCGTAAAAACAACACATTTTGCTTACGTTTTTTCCAAAAAAAAAAATAATGAAGTGAACAATACTTGAATGTTTTGCCAAATATTTAGGCTCATTATCATGCCAAATATATGGCTCATTAGCATGTCTAGCAACGTAAAATTTATTTTACAATAATGCTATTCAAAAACAGATACAGTCTTTAAAAATTTCTACCAAGTTGTCAGGCATGGACCCCCCTAGAGACCCCCATTCAAACCTCTATGTAATGAGTTAAGTTAGAAATTTGGTACTACAAGTGACAGTTCATAGATATAGAAAAGGTCAGGCTTCAAACCATGCAAGTTTATTGTAACCCTTTACCCATCTCCACATCAGTCCCAGCAAATTCACTTTTTGAGAAAAAACTCAAAATATTTTTCTGCCAAAGATTAAGCAAAAATTATCAGAGTGAAAATTTGCAGTTAAGGACAGCTTAATGCCATAAATCTTTATTAGGCATTTCACTAGACTATTATCTTCTGTAAGTATATGCAAGGTGGGCTATATAGCAATCACTAGTAGCATTGTATTTGCAAATACAAACAGAATGTAACTAACATGTCTTTTAATTATATAATTACATGAATGTTAAAATTGGTTCATGTGTCATGGTTACTGGTTATGATAAATATCTCTTCATATGATCAAAGCTCGTTTAAATGTAAATCTGAAATAATTTAGTTTAGAAATTATAATGATCATCAGAAAAATTACCTAGTGATCATGAAAAATACTTTGCTATTTTGCCAAATTTAATACCATTTCAGTCAAATTGTCACAATAAAAAGCTTCATGGATCAGAAGACTCAAAATCACAGGTTATAGTAAACAGCTTCTCATGTAATCAATGTTAGTTTTCTTAAATCTTAAACAATATGTAGTATAACTGTCCAATGATTGAATGATCAATGATCATAAACTGAAAAGCCCCAAACATTTGTTTATGATAAAGTAAATAATAGTATGGCGCCTTATGGCTGCAGATTTTTTGTCCATTGAAATATATTTGCATGAATGTAGGATTTCGCTGCCATATAACGGCCACGATTCCCCAAGCACTAAAGAAATCATAGCTAAAAGTCCTTCGGCAACAACAATTTTAGAAGCATTTGATATATTACATTCATGCATACACTTCACCTGTCCTTTACTTACGATTTTGGATGTAAATTTCTGCTGATAAAACTCAAAACAATGTTGGCTTTCTTTTGAACATCAATGACTGAAATGTCGCTCGCGAGATCGTCTTTGCCAAGCATTTACAATTTATCCATAAATTTTTCACCCTCTTGAAAAAATTCACAGTTTCGACAGCAGCATTCATGTCATTATATGAATTTGTAAAAGATTTCCATAAATTCCATCTGATTGTAGTTTAGTTTCTATCATGCTTATAAAAATTACTATGAAATGATCAAACATTCAATTCAGACAGTGAGCTTTACTATGTTAGTTCAGTTGGCTATCAGTCGAAATCCGTCAAACCAATCACAATAAAAACAAAATTCAAATGAACCAATTGTAAGATAGCAATTGGACTCCCTTTTACGTCCGGCCACCCTATTATCAGTCGAGACCATTCCAGACTGTCCACTGATCTGGCCATTGACCAATAAAATAAGGGTTTTTGGCGTTCATAGACTCCTTTATCCGTCGAACCAGTCAAGCCACCCCGCTTATCAGTCGGTTATTCCAGGTCAATTAAAATTCAACTGATCTGGTTACCAACGAGATATTCATTGGATCAGTCATTAGTTTTCAATAATAAATAAAGCTGGATTTTTATCACGAAGTAAATGCGATAATAAAGTAAGAATAATTAATGAATTTTTAATTAACATGAATAGGTAATTTTTGAATTTCAAACATCAGTCGCGCGACTGATTTGACATACTCCAGATCCGCCCCTGTTGACATACTCCAGATCCGCCCCTGCCAACTGGAAGTTAGTTTAGTTTTCAACTCGGTCCACAGAAAAGCCCACAAGCATATATTTATTACAGGATAAGAATTAATGTAGTTGTAAACGGTTTACACGTACTTTTACTATGTTTTAATGTTTTGTCAGTTGAATTTTCATACTATTGTCAATAAAGACTGTGTTGTGTATACTGTGCTGATGACTGCCAGTAACTAAACACCCCCTAACTAAACAATACAACAGGACGTCCAAAAATATTTTCAAGAATCAAAGAAGAAATGAAAGCCAACATACTGATTTTGTATTTAATGTAGTGTTTCGTCTTGGTCTTTTAAAATTATGAAATTCAAAATGCATTAAACTTCTTAAAAAGTTTGGTTTAAAGCGACTTTAAGTTAAAGATATGTTCATCAAAGCATATCATTACAAAAAGCTGTTGTATTTTAACGTATACACTTGTGTACCATATTATTGAAGATTTTCTCGAATTCAGACAAAAATTTATTTTCCTTCACAAACATAATTTTAGTATTGGCTAATTTTTGTTTGGACTAAGAATTCTCGACAAGAGATTCGTTTCAATAGCGCCTGTGGAATTACATGAATATTTACGCCAAAACTTTACAGCAAAATAATATTTTCATCCAAGACAACAAGGACAAGTACGCTATTCCACTAAAAATGCAGCAAAACGTAACATACCCCTGTAATTTGGTTTTCTTCCGTGAGAATTTCAGAAAGACCCAATTTCTCGCTTCGCAACGTTTGACCTAAGTGATGTCGTTGTTGATTATGCAGTTCAATGGGCGTATTTCATATTTCTGTGCATATATTCACGCAATATATTCAGTATGGTAATTCAATGTCGTAGTTTTATTGAAATGATATAACTGTAATGCTAAGTGGTGATCATTGAACCAAAATACACTGAATAAAATAGATGTATTTAATCAGTGCGCCCCACCGTGACCAGACTTTCTGAAAGTAAAAACCAAGCCAAGCTCCAAAACTTACTAAAATCAATGAAAAACTACCGAATTCGGAGATACAGTTGTTAAACAAATTCACAGGTTATGGCAAAAAATCAAAAGACGAATGCTAAATACACAGAAATCAACTCGTTCTTACATCAACTAAAGTCATGAAGTCAAAAGAGATGAAAATGCAACAGAAGTATCTACAACGACTTATATTTACTGTTAAACTAACTGTAAATAAGTCACATTAAAAACAACATTGTTCAGTTTGTATCGGCCTAATTATCGATCAATACATTCAAAATCATTATCTATTAAATGGAAAGTATACATAGTCAAGCAACTTTGGTGAAAACCATTATTATTTTTAAGATGAACATGACATGAAATACAAAAAAAAGAATGATATTTGCTCAACAAAAACAAATGAAAGAGTAAAATTCGTCCTTTTACCTTCGTTGACAGTGAGATTTTAAACTTTCCTGTTTAATCATGGCTTCACAACGATAAAAAAGAACAATAGAAAAGAAAAAAGTTGGTTCAACGGGACCAGACGGGACTTCGAGATGTGTAAGTGTGAATGACCCTGCTCTGGCAAATCCAGCAGGCAGCACGCTAATTAGAAAGTTCAGATTAGTCTAATTTTCCCATTGATTTGGTAACCATTGAAATTTTCATTTTATAGTTTATATTTTTCTTACAACGGGAATCCGAGACATATAAGCGTGGCCCAGCTGAACTGATCAGTTATAAGCTATATGCACGCTTATCCATCAATATCATTTCGGATCAGTGGAAATTTTCCACTAAACTGCTATCCAATGAGATTTTTGCATTAAACCGCTGCATTATTAACCAACTTGCTTAAAGAAAATTTCATTTGTAAAAAGGACTTTGATGTTAGAAAAGAACAACAACGTAACAATAATCACTCAAATTTCAAGATGTATATTAATAATAACTTTTGAAATTTTGATTTATAAAGTTAAAGTTATTGCTCTTGTTGTTTTAGTATTCAGATTGAGAATGAAATATCAAAACGTTAAAAGTTTTATTGTTGCTCCCAAATGATGAAGGTTTTTGTATGTCTGGAGCATTGCGATATTAAAGAGTCGGGATTCTCTAGTACATTTGTTTATATTTCAAGTATTAAGACTGTAAATTTTCTAAAGGTCCCCGTATTTTTTAGGCTCTCTCTTTGTGTTGTCGAACAACCCACTAGCCCTGTACTAAAAATGAAACCATATAAACTGTAAACAATTTTTGTTACAATTGGCGCTCCAGAGTAGATCACTAAAGGTGTTCTTAACTATCCAACTACGGTCTTCTCTTAACAAGATGGGTCTCAAGGCATTCCCTAATCAAAGACAAATTTTGAAATTTACGATTTCGAAATTTACGAGGTTCATCAGTAAATAGAAAATACTTATTCAAAAACAGTATTGCCTTACACTGTTATCAAAAACAACTAATGAATGAGTCAGAATGACCAGTGTATTTTCCTATCCAAAAATGGCTTCTTTCTGGAAATCATAAAGTATTGGCAGCTCCAAAGGGAGGAAAAGATGCAAAATTCAAATCTTATCAGAATATGTAAATGTTCGTAAAAGCGCCATTGCGACTTTACAACATGGAAAATGTTTATAAACACATGTTTAGAATAAATTTATGATTTTCTTGAAAACAAATTACTGTTGTCATAATTTGTTCTTTCGTCGGCTATTACGTACTCCGATTCATTTTTTTTTTTGCAAAGATTCATAATTATCATTTTCTATATTCCTTTTCGATAAGTCCAGTTCTTGATAAGTTTTATCAATTGTGTCATCCTATGGTCGCAATGATTGATAATTATCTTCTTTATTATTAATTTTTGATAAATCCAATTCTTGATAAGTTGTATCAACAGAATTATCCTAACTTCAGGTGGAGATTGAAATTGTTGACAATTTTTACAAAAGCAATTTTGACGATATTGAAAAACAATAGAAACCAAAATTCCAACGATAATTCCAGATGTTAAAGTTATTAAATTAATGTACCATTCTGTTTTGTACTGTTTTATTCTCTCATTTATGTCATCACAAAGAACGTTGTCTAGAGAAGAAGCATAGAACTTAAAAATATGGAAAAAATCAAAAGAGTTTATTTGTATACAATACTAATATACATATGATAACAAGATTGGAGCATTTTGATTGAGCATTGGATAGATTGAATTGAACATTTCCATTAAGTCTAAGGAAAAGGTCGAGATGTTAATTGCTTTGTGTGGCTAGAGCTAAAGTTTGTTATAAAAGAGCGATGTCTTACAAAACTTACAAGTAGCTTTCACTGTTACTTCAATAGATTTTCATTTGTAAAACGTGGATCATTATAACTTTGTGCTTTACATGTGTAATTTCCACCATCATTCAATGTAATATTAGTGATTACTAATGTCTTATTTACAACTCCAACATCACCAAGTATGTTGTTATCTTTATCAAACCATGTGACATTAGCAGGAGGGTTACCTCCTTCACCTCTACATACACATGACACATTATCACCTTCATCCACAACCACATGAGTTGAACAATTAATTACAGCCTTTGGTTTCACTGAAATTAAAAACAAAAAATATTCCTTTCTTAAATTAGTTATGAAAAAGAAAATTAATAATGAGAATATTCGTTAGTGTTAAGTGCATTTTCTTAGGAGTGTTTGATCAATGCCCTAACCAGTCACAAGCCAGCAGGAAGCCGCTTATCACTGGCTAAAAGTCCAAATTAGTGGAAATTTTCCACTAAACTGCTATCCAATGACATTTTTGGATTAAGCCATTGCACTATTAACCAATTTGCTTAATGAAAATTTCATTCGTAAAAAAGACTTTGATGTTGGAAAAGAACAACAACATAACAATAATCACTCAAATTTCAAGATGTATATTAATAATAAATTTTGAAATTTTGAAAGTCAATCGCGTGACCGACTAGACATAAACAATATTGACTTATTATGAAGCCTAAACAACTATCGTTGGTCCTCGAAGAACTATAAACAAGTCACAGTCGTCTAAGGCACCTGATAACCTATTTAATGAGGATATGCAATTGCCAAAGTTAACAGCTAGGTGACGACAGATGCATACGTCAGCGCAGCAGGCAGCGAAAGGGGCATTTGAGGTGTAGGCTTAAGTGTCAATCATAATTGGCAGATGTAGTCTTTCAGCACAACGAATCTAAATCTCGCCAACAAAGAAAAATATATAACTATCTTCATTGTTCAGCACAATCTTGTACTATCGTGTACAAATGGGATGAAACTCATCAGTCGTAATTTGTTCATGTACAATGTAGGATACTAGCCCAACAATTGATGAAGTAAGATTTTAATTTTACCTTTGATGATAGTAAGATTTTCAAAATCAGATAAATCATTTCCCAATTTATTTTTTGCTTCACAATGATATAAACCAGCGTGATTGAAGTTGACTGACTTAATGATGTATGTCATTTTATTACTGACAACACGCATATTATCAGCACCATTATGATAAATTTTGTAGGTTGGTTCAGGATAACCATCAGATTTACAAGATATGGTCACTTTATGATCTTTTTTCACTGACATTGGACTGATGGTAATAATGGTTTGTTTTGGTGGATCTGTAAAGAAAAAAATTAAATTCAATATTCTACACAAACGTTTATAATGAGATCTGATATGCGGTCTTACAAACTTACAAGTAGCTTTCACTGTTACTTCAATAGATTTTTCATCTCTAAAACGTTTATCATTATAACTTTGTGCTTTACACGTAAAATTTCCACCATCATTCAATGTAACATTAGTGATTACTAATTTCTTATTTACAACTCCAACATCACCTATTATGTTGTTATCTTTATCAAACCATGTGACATTAGCAGGAGGGTTACCTCCTTCGCCTCTACATACACATGACACATTATCACCTTCATTTACAACCAGAGGAGTTGAACAATTAATTACCACATTTGGTTTCACTGAAATGAAAAACAGAAAATTTTCAGTCAATATTCAAAAAAAAGAAAATGAATATAAGGTGAAAAGTAGATGATAAATAAAATCAAGTTATTTTAAACATAGCAAACCCCATTAGGAATTTAGGAAAGCAACATTTTACATTACTTCGATAAGTTTTATTGACTATAGGTGAATGGCAGCCGATCCCCAAGGAGTGAAGTACAAAGATATTCTCTATCTGGGTTGAAATTTAAATCGTAAACACGAATTTCCTTTGTCAAATTCAACCATCATGTTATATATAAGAACACATTTTTATGACAAAACAAACCAATAGTTCATAATTGTCTTATTTTTACGGCATTGTGAAAAATTTGGAGGACAGAGTACTGAGAGTTTGTTTACAATTGAGAAATTTTTTAACTCCACATTTTCCACCATGCTGAGGAGCTAGATAGAAAATGCAGAGTTTCTTTATAAGCGTTTGCTTAGGCTTAGTTAAAAATCATGTTAACTATGGAAAACAATACTGATAGTTTACGCTAAACAATCCAATAGTAATTAAAACAGAGACTTTATCGTGGTGAAAAATTTGAATATCGCCTTAAAGAGAGCAAATGCAATGGTAAATAACCACGAAACCCTAGATAAAACGGAGAACAAAAAAAAACTAACAAAAGAAAACAAAGAAAAAATCAAGAGTTCAGAAAAGAACTGTTTTAGAATTAGAGCATTAACCTAAAAATTCTGAAAATAACTGTTTTAGAAGTTTAAGACACTATGCATTTTGGCAGACAACTCGTAAGGTGTCAACGTCTGCTATCTGTTAAGGGTGAATCAACTTGTATTTATATAGCAGTTGTTTTAATGATGATTACTGAAGCGTTTGAGGACGAGTCCTCATCAAAATAAAGCCAATTTGAAAATAAACTGCTTCTATCGACAAAGGACCCGATCATTAAGCTTATTAAATAGCGCCTTCATCGTTTTTAGAGAAAAAGCAGACTTAAGACATTTTATGATTTAAGACATTGTGAACGGTCTTGAGTACCAGCACAGAGAGAACACAGTCCTTAAATATCTAAAGCCAATTTCATGCCAACTATTTGACTTTGGATTGAGTAGACTGTTGGATGTTCAAACATGGACATGGTCCATCGTAAAATGGAGAACGGACGAAATTAACATGGTTCTCTTTTTTATATGGCACCAGAAATCCTTGGTCAATTAACAATGGCATGCCAGGATAGCTTGAAAAAGGCGGTTATATTGAGTCTCTAGGTATTATGGCATTTGCAATGATAAATCCAAAAGTAAGCTATCCTTACTGTAAAGAATTCGAATACTTGGTGGCTTTCTTGGACAGTAAGCCTTAAAAACTCACTCGTCAGCTCAAAAGACACTCAAAAGACTTAAATCAAAGCACTGCATATGAAGGAGCTGATGTTAATCTTGTCTAAAGGAGGCTCCCTACAGTTACTAAGCAGGAGACTGGTGATAATTCGCATGCGCATACTGTGCTCATGTCGAGTGGATTTTTTTTACACTAGCACTGTAACATTATGAAATCGTGTAAGCGTGGATAGACTGTTCTTTGTTCGGCGAGACATAATAGTGATATTACCAGTTGATCAATTGATATCAAATTTTATACCACAAAAATCGAAAGTGGTATCAATAACTAATTTTTTGTCCTATACTCAAATGTAGTAAAATCTGTGATACAAACACTTTAACATAGATTATTCAAATCAAAAGATGCCTTATAATTTCCTTTTTAAATTAAAACAAAACAAAACAAGTCTTTGCATTTGTCTTCGCTCAACGGCTCAAGTATTTAGCTACAGGATTCCAGACTGCGGTCATATATCGTATAATTACGCCCGATGCTAAAGCTCCTTAGATTACATGAAAGGCTTGGATAACCCCGCTGCTAAGTTAAAAATAATAAATACAACTTACTTGCAATAGACACGTTTACAGATAAGTCAATAGGATCATGAGTTAAGTAAATTTATAAACACCAATGTAACTTTGAGTAACATTCTTTAACATCAGAGTTGCAGGCTTGAAAACTTCAACATCTAAACCAAATGACTTAAGGACTGATGTTGAATATTTTAGGTCTCCATTATTGCCACTTATTGTTACAATTGCATGAGCTGCAGAAGCAATGTCAAATGTCCTAAAGGTCCAACTCCGAAAAAGAAAGTTTGCAACGACACAATAACAGTTATAAACGTTCCTTTGGCAAAATTTTCAGGCCAAGTTTGCCACATTAAATACTCAGAACAATGTATACAATACAAGAAAGATTGAAATAATTAAAACTTACCAGCAATATAAACATTTATTTTTGATGGAGGAGTAGGAGGAAAAGTTAAAATAGTAAATGTAAATTCACCATTGTAACTTTGATTTACATTCTTTAGCCACAAAGTTCCAGATTTAAAAACTTCAAATGTTAAAGGTGATGGTGAATATTGGGGTATGTCACGATCATAAAAAAATACTGCAATTTGTGAGGAGGAAGATGAGCCACGAGGTGTAAAACTCCAAAGCCTTGAATAAATGTATACAGTAACACTTAATGTCCAAGTTATATTGTGAGAAGATCCAGGTAAAAATACAAATCTTTGACCATCAGGTGGAGATGTTATTCTTCCTGAAATTGAAATTTAGCTGATATCTATGATTGATAAAAAGATAGTTTAGGGAAAAATACATCTTCTACTAACATAACAAAAGTAATTGATGTTCTTAATTCAGGTTCTATTCAAAAATTGTGAATAAAAAAATAAACTTATTAAATATTACTACTACAACAACTAAGAATACATCAAAAATCATTTAAGTAAAAAAAGAAATGGATATTTGAAATTAAATACCTTTGGCAAGACCAAGAAATGTGATCAATGTAACAGTCCGATATACTAAATTTGTCTTTACCATTTTAACTAAAAAATTATATGATGAATTTTCATGATTATGTTCTTGACGAGTCCCAGGGGGCATGCATCACTGAGAAACTTTTGATTTCGTAAAACAGTGAATCAAATGACAAATAACCAAGTTGTCCTTTAACTTTTACCACTTCAACCCAACGACTTCAATTCAGATGGTTGGACTGCAAACTTCTGTTTAGCAAAGGACTGTACATGGATGACGTCAGACGACTTTGCTCTTTTTAATCGAGTATATTAGAATTTAAAATTGTTTAAAAAAGAGCATATACAATGGTGAATGGTTAAAATAATAACGTAATAGTTCTTAAAAGAAGTATTTAAAACCAGAACACTAAACCCAACAAGTCACGAAAACAAATTCAGAAATTAAAAGTACAAAAGTAATGTTGTGTAATTTCTTTCAATCGTTGTATTTACATTGCTTTCCCATTAACTTGGAATCTTAAATGAAAGAAAGTTTTGCAAAATTTTAGTAAATGTGGGGACAATATAGAATTGCAAATCCGATTTAAAATATAGCGTATTCACTCCCAAGTAAGACATTTGAATTTTACGAATCATTTCAGTGTAAGAAATAATTGGAAATCTGCATTTTGCGATATATATATATTTAGGCTATCTTCTACCTTAGGCTATCCTGCTCATCTGTCATTGATTATCATTAAAGATTAATGAATATTGTCCACTTATGAGCATAATTGAGATGTTTGTTTGCTGAAAACTACCATTGATGTTTATGGAATTGAAGCATTGTTTACACGAAGCAAGGATAGCACTATCCATTGTGCAATGACTCACACATTAAAATTTAGTTCTATTTTGTTCACTAAATCGTTTTAAATTGCAGTTTGCTGTCTTCCTAGAAATTTTTAAATTAAAAAATTTCTATTACCGCCCAAGCTTGCTGAAACAAAGCCACTCGATGTTAGCTTGCCTTTGGGGCTAGGTGAAATCTCACATCTACAGTAGACATGAAAATAAAGAAGCAAAAATAATAATGATCACGAAATTGTTTTATTCGTAAACATCCCTTACACAATGCATATTAAATCATTCAATCGTAAAGAAGCAATTTAAAGAGTTTTCCATCGCACTCCTTGAAATTGCTTGATTTTTCTATCTAATTTCTACACTTAATTTCTATGTAAATAAAAGTTTAAATGGTTTATCCATGATAATTAAAATAATAAAAGTAAAACTACGATTAAAACAATATTCTATTCAAAACGCTGTGTTAAAGTCAGTGTGTAATGTTGTTGCCTTATAAAGGCAAGTAAAATACATTCACAAACTGTAGCATAGATGCCAAGATTCAAGTTTGTTCATGGCAAAAGATTATGTACACAGACACAATCATAAAGTATTCAGTTTAATACTGTTTAGAGATCAAATCTAGATTATATAATGAAGAACAAAGTAAAACTTTATAAATGTAGTAACAGTCTCTACGTACTCTTGTTTTATTAACGACGATCGCCAGTTCTTAATTAAATTTATAATAAGATTAAACTACCATAATAAGAGAAAGAAAAACATGTTTTCGGCATTTTTTAAAAAAATATTCAACAAATGAATCAATTTTTACTTTTTTCTTCAACCATCAAAGAATTACGTCGAGCTTTGTGGATCTTTTCCAAAAGATAAAACTTACTATTCCTTCTTTTCATCGCCTTTTTTGTCATCGCCTTTCTTGTCGTCTTTTTTCTCGACAGGTGCCAGTTTACTCATATCAATACTGGCGTATTCAGTTGGTGCAGGACGATTTTGAGCCGGGTTTTTTTAAGGGACATCTTTTAAATCTACAGAAAAAATACGTATATATTGTAATTACAAACGTTGTTTTTTTCTATTATGTTTGAGCACTCTGGTTACAAAACAATCCATACAATGTGTAAACGTACATCCTGTGTCCCAAGTGCAGGAGTCACCATTTCACTATGGTGATAGCCGGGAGGGCACATTGTTATACACTTGGTATATACTTTATCATATATACATATGATAATAAAATATATGTAGGTTTTTTAATCATGGTAAATGATCTAATAAACCCGTGACGTTAAATAAATTTCATAGCAGTTCGAGGAAAGGGAGGGACGTTAAGTTGATACGAGTAGTGAAATAGAGAGAGACGTTTACATCATTTCTATCACCTTATTGTGAGCAAAACAGAAACAAAGTCAAGACTAAATATACGGTTTCTTAGCCCAATCGATAAAACAATTTAAATTATGACAATGTGCCGGGTTTGTCTATTGCAGACTGAACGTTTATTAGAGACACTCGTCTAATATAAAATCAAGTTTCAACGAAGCAATTCGTATGTATTGTTTTCAAGTGTGTTTACAGGTCTTTAGGAATAAATTACTGCTAAATAATAATAATTCTAAATATGGGGTGCTTTCACATACGAGCAGTTTTTTTAACCCCTCCCCCTGCATAATCACATGATGCATTCAAATTAATCATCACCATAATCCAACTAAAACAAAATAAATGCACAAATTTTATTTCTAAATAATAAATGACAAATATCCACAACAAACCGGATTTCCTTCTCTATTTTCTCTATCCATCGAGGCATAAACAGGTGGTGGTGCTTTACTTGTTGATGGTTTATTTTCATCACTTGTTGATGGATTATTCACTGTTTCATATTGATTACCAACAGATTCATAAGCATTTTCTCTAAGTCCTCCAGCCTCTTCATAATGATTGGGTTGTGCATTATTAGCTCCAGCTAATGGTTCAACACCATTTTCACCGCTGCAACATTAATAACCATGATTAAATTTTGTACATGATATGGACAAAACGAAGAAAATATAGATATAACATTAATACAACAGTTTGTACTGTACGAAAACAACAGCTTCTCTAACTTGCTGAAACCATGAAAATATTTTATTCAAAAGATGAGAAACACAAAACACATTAACATCACATATCACACAAAGAAAATTAAAATGAATAATTCACTTACTGGTATCCTTTTTCTACAATAAACATAACACAAAAGTAGATACTTAATAATTAGTAATACGACAGCAGAAAATGACAACAACCATAATGGCGACAAGGAAAACCGCTCAAAAAGCAATGCCAACAATCAGAGCAATATTTGGTCCATCATCATCATCATCTTTAACTGTAGAATTATTGTTGCCATTATCTTTGCTTGTAGAAGTATTTTGGCTAACTTAAATAAAAAGTTGTGAACTTTGATAAATTTTATCAAACAGTCTTGTTGACGACCCCAAATTCAAACATTAATCAATAGCTTTTTAAATAGGTCTAGCAAATAGTTTGAAATAGCCAGAATGAAACAATGCGATATGCAAAAAAAAAATAAAATTCACAATACACACTAAAGTTAGTGTCAGGTCATACGTAAATTGATAAATTAATAAAAAAAGTTTAAAAAACAAATGGTGAGACACACTCTCCATAAATGATGTTCCACATTAAAGAATTAAAGAAAAAAACGTTAAAAAAGTTACCGTTAGTAGTGGGAGTGGAACTAATTGATGACGTAAAGGTAAACGTCATCGATGACGTAATTATCGACGGCGATAGACTGAATGAGCTTGATATAGGAGCTAGCACAATGACAAAATTTTTCAAATGAGAATGATTCCAATATTGAAATTCCTTCAATATTGAAATGCGTGCCACCAAATCGTGAAAATTTGCTAGTTTGAAATTCCAGTCATTTAAGCAATTCACGCCAAGTAATCTATTTAAATTAATGAACTCTAGGCAATTTACGTTTATAAACACTTTAATGATTATACTGGGAAATACAGATAAGTTAAACATATTTTTACTGATAGTCATTGAAGAATATATATACATAGGAAAAAATGTTATGGTTAATGCAGCATGCAGACATTGCCAGTCATTGTTTTACAACACGAGCCAGTAAAAAGTTATGTAATCAGAGCAATTTTTGTTGTTTACTGAAATTTTATTGTTATAAGGGTATTCAAGCGCATTGAAGAAGTCTAATGCTAATTACAATAAGATAAACATCGGTCTTTCACCTTTTGCTACCAAGAAAGTTCGTACATAATGCAAAATAAAAGTCCAACAAGTGATAAACTGAGGTTCTTAATTTTACCTTCGTAGCTAGTGTTATTTGTATGTTTGTTGTTAGTGGGAGTAGGATTTGTATGTCCGTTGACAGTGAGATATTTAACCTCAGATAAATCATTTCCCAGTTCATTCTTTGCTTCACAACGATACGAGCCAGCATCACTGTAGTTGATGGAATGAATGGTGTATGTTTTATTATTGCTGACAACAGATGTGCTATCTGTACCATTGTGGTAAATGGTGTAGGTTGGTTCAGGCTGCCAATCTGACTCACAGGATATTGTCACAGTTTGACTTATTCTGGCTGACATTGGACTGATGTTAATATTAGGTTGTCGTGGTCGGTCTAAAAATAAAATTCATATTCCACTACAAACATTCAGAATGAAATCTGAAACATAATATTATAAACTTACATGTAGCTTTCACTTTTATTTCAATGGATTTTTCATCTGTATAACGTGGATCATTATAACTTTGTGCTTTACATGTGTAATTTCCACCATTATTCAATGCAACATTAGTGATTACTAATGTCTTACTTACAACTTCAACATCACCAATTATGTTGTTATCTTTATCAAACCATGTGACATTAGCAGGAGGGTTACCTCCTTCACCTCTACATACACATGACACATCACCACCTTCATCCACAACCAGACGTGTTGAACAATTAATTAGCACATTTGGTTTCACTGAAATTAAAAGCAAAAATTTTCCCTAATAATAAAGAAAATGGACGCTGAAACACTCTTCTTCTTAACATAATGAAAAAATAAAGTTTTAGGAATTTTCTGAAATTACAAAGCTTTAACAAACTTCCAACTAATAGCTGAAAATGTTTCTGTCACAGTTAATGCAACGCTAGTTAAACAATAAAAATTCCTGCGTTTTTGTTGCCAATTTTGTGATAAGCATTGCGCTGACGCATATTATTTAGCATAATAAACCTGCTCCAGGAAAGAATTGCATCTACTTTGAAGTAGCAATCCAAAGATACTGCAAAGCTTCAAACATCTTCAGTCTTTTTAATTTGCAGTTTGAGTTAACATTAAACATGTTTTATACATTTGTGATTAGGTAGTTCATATTTTTTAAAATTCAACTCTCCTTCATTTTCCCGTAGGCTTCATGACATTAAGGCCTAATTCCACGGCAGCGAAATGCGAAATAGTTCGCGCGAAATTTTGTTTCTGCGAAATTTTCTCCTGTAATTCGATTTCCACGCATGAGAAAAAGAGCGCCAACTTTTAAATAATATAGCAATATGGAGTTCAGCCGCAAACAATTAATTTGCCTGCTCTTGATATACCGAAGAAGAAAACGACGTTTGAAAAAATACAAAAAGAGATTTTGGGTCAGAAAGCTTTTTAAAAGTCGTGCAATACGAGGGGAATTTGTGAACTTAGTACAGGAGTTGAAACTGCACGACCATGAGTTGTTTTTTAAGCAATTCAGGATGGATCCTAGCCAGATGGAAGAGGTTTTAAGCTGGATAGCGCCAAAAAATTTATAAACAGGAAACTCGGAGAGATGTTATAAAACCTGAAGAGAGATTATGTGTGACTATGCGCTATTTAGCAACGGGTGACTCTTTCTCAACCATATCGATGAGTTATAGAATTGGAGAAACCACAATATCAAAGATTGTCAGCGAAACATCGAATGCTATTTGGGAAGCAATGTTGGAGAAAAACATTTTGAACATGCCTAAAGCACCAGAAGATTGGTTAGCAATTGCCAAATTGTTTGAAAAACGTTGGAATTTTCCTAATTGCTTGGGGTGCATTGATGGAAAACATGTACTCATTCAAGCACCTGCTAGGAGTGGTTCACTGTTTTCAATTATAAAAACTTTCTCAATTGTGCTGCTAGCAGTTTGTAATGGAAACTACCAATTTACAATGGTCGATATTGGGGAAGCAGGCAGGCAAAGTGATGGTGGTGTATTTTCTAATAGCAATCTTGGCTATTCTATTCTTAAGAATCTCCTGCCAGTGCCTAGACCAAGACAGATAGACAGTTCAAATGTTTTATTTCCATTTGTCTTTCTTGGAGATGATGCATTCCCATTACGTCAGAACTTGATGAAGCCTTATGCAAATCCTAATTTGGACATAAGGAAACTTGTGACCAACTATCGCATATCAAGAGCCAGGCGTATAACTGAAAACTCGTTTGGAATATTGGCTGCAAGATTCCGAATATTTAGACGTCGTCCAATTCATGCAAAAGTTGACACAGTTATTTCAATTACCAAAGCTTGTGTTGCTTTGCATAATTACCTAATGAATGGAAAGACATATGCTAACCGATACTGTCCATTAGGTTTTGTTGACCATGAAATCAATGGACATTTCAAAGGAGGGGACTGGCGAGATATGGTAGTTGATACAACTGGTTTGGGTCAAATATCAAGAGTTGGTTCAAACAACTATGCAAAAGATGCTAAAGAAGTAAGAGACAATTTTGTAAATATTTTAATTCAAAGGAAGGAGAGGTCCCTTGGCAATGGCATGCATATGATGTTGATGTAAATAATTGCCACAAATCATGATAACTTTATTTAAAAGACATTAATGTCATCCCTAAAATTTGCATGGGAAATGATCATGATTCATGCAAGGAATTCAATTTTTTTTCAAAATAAAAAACATCACAACAAAACTTACAAACAAAACATAAACCTGTCAGACAAAACAAAGTGAATATTCACATTTCCCTCATTCATCATCCATCTCTTCCAGAAGAATCTGTTGAATTTTTGTTTTTACTTCCAGACTTTTTTTTCTTGGGAACTTTCTCAAAACATCCACAATACTTTTACAAAAAAAGAAATCTTCATCTTCATGTTCTTTCTTATCACTGCCTTGATCTTTTTCTTTTATGGCATTAATTAAGTAGTGATCAATAGGATCCATGTCATCATTTTTTTTCCTTTTACAATGAACTATAGTTGCCTGAGGTTCAACATTAGGGAAGCTTTGATTTAAAATACCTTCTGCACAAGAAATAGGTTCTGATGATGTAGACGAGGATGGGGACTGGTGTTGTGAATGTTGTGGTTCAACAGACTGGATGGTAACGTTGCTATGGGTGGTGCGATTACTTAGTGTATCCCGAAGGAATGCCAATTGACTAAAATATCTGCAGCGAGGTGGCTTATAAGCACCTGCACCTGACCTGTTCATATCTCTTTCTCTGCCAAGACATTTTTTGAAGCTATCACAGAGATTTTTCCACTTGTTTTTCAGAAAGTTAACTAAAAAAGTTAAATAAAAAAATTTAAGAAATTAAGCTAGTGAACACAATTAACACAAAGATCTTTTATTATTTAGGCAACTGCATTTTTAACCATGCAATTGATGACTAGATGTGGTGCAGTACAATTCACAAAAAATTCAACTGTATCCACCAAGTTGCAAAATCTTGAACATCAGAGTTCCTGAACTGCCTATGACATAATCTGTAAAGGAGAGCCTTGCATAATTTCATCCCACACCATACTCTAGTAAATATAGAAGTCACTGTTGTAAACAGTAGGGAACTTAAAAACTTGGAAAAATAAAACATGCATGAAATATGTAACTTCTGTGTACTCTTTCTTATTACTTATAGCATGTTCAAGGTGCACCTTCACCTGAAGGCTTGGCAGAAAACACACCAAACTAAACCATGTACTCACCATCGCGATTAAGTTTTTGCTAAATTTGCCCAGACAATCCTTTTCTTGTCTGACCGTTTGAAATCAGGGGATTCTCTCATCCATAAAATTGGCAAAGACTGAACTTCGCTAATAAGTATTTCACAAAAATCATCATGGAAATCGGGAGTTTCGTTGGCATTTACGCTATGAAGTAATAGAGCTGTGTCTTCCGAAAGACTAGTCATGTTGATTTCCAGAGACGCCATATTAAATTTTGTTTACAAAGCAGTTATTTCATTGGTTTCGCTGGTTTTTTTCGCTTGAGAGTTGAAACAATTTCAACTTTGGCGAAACAGAAATTTTTCGCCGAGAAATGCCTCATGGCAAGGGTGCGCATGCGTTATATCAGTTTCCCGCGAACTATTTCGCATTTCGCTGCCGTGGAATTAGGCCTTTAGGGAGCTTTAGCAAGAGTACGACTACGAGTACGAAGTTTGACCGTGTAAGAGAATGGCACGAGGTAGTTTGTTGTCGGTGTCGCTTCGTCAAAATTTTGCTTTAGTTGTAAACAACAGAACGAGCCTTTTATTGTGTAAAACACCGACGTTTGCGAAGCAGCTACGGCTCTATTTGTTATTAATGATATCAATGAATCGGTAATACTGGTTTGGCGAGAATATAGGACTTTTTAAACTGAAAAATCTTCACTATTTTAAGTTTTATGTACGATATATTTGTACTATTTTATTGTTTGTTTACCTTTCACTTTGCGTACGAAATACATGAAAGTTTTGCAGGTCATATTTTCAATTTTAATGTACATCTGCGCTCAAAAGGTTCTAAATTCAAGCCTGGATGCTCGAAAATAGTACTGTAAACTAATTTCTCACAGAATGAAGAAATATACCTACTTTCTTTGCTTAAAAAGACATCGTAGTCGCGACTACGAATTTTTTACAAAACATCGTACTCAGATTGATGACGGCTACGTGTTTTTGTTGTCGCAACAATGTTTTTGCGCCAAAATGACGTAAATCGTACTCGTAGTCGTACTCGTAGTCTTTGCTAAAGCTCCCTATTATCGCAAAATTTCATTTGACTGCTCTCCTTATCTGAGTTGCTAATACACAATTTAATTCATACTTTTATAATCCACCAATAACATGGGCCACATGACGGCCCAAACAACCGATAAAACTTAAAACAATACCATGAAGCAGGGCTGAAGACATATGGAATTATGGAAAAAACACCGGCACACGCTATGTCGTTAACCATTTACGGTTGCACATCGTTTGAATATTTAAGTCCCCACAAACGATATACGCTGCACCCCTGGTCTTTTTTTATCTACCTTTTTTACCCAAATGCTGTGGTATTGCAGGGGCGGACTGACCTGTTCATGACTTACTAGGAAAACTCAGAAAGGGGTGCCTGTTTGTTGCAAGTAGCCATTTGTAGGGGGAGGGGCTGAAGTGCATGTGCTGCTATATCGAGTATAAGTTATTGACAGCTACTTGGCTATAACAAGTTAAGGCGAGAACTCAAATGAACTACATAACTAATAAAACGACAAATAAGATTTTGAGGATTTTGTTCTTTGAGAACTGCATGATGTTCCCAGCACTAGGCTAGACCATATCATATGCTTGCACCATTGAACAAAATGTTTTCACGTAAAATACTATGCTAGAAGTAGCAAAAAAGCTTTTAGGCTAACAAATTGTAAGCAATTTTAAATAGCGTAGATTACTCAAAAGCTGCATGTCAATAGAAATTGGGAAGTTTACCAATACACATAGATGATAAGGACACATCTGATTGCTTTTGCATTTTGTCATTGTAGCAGTACTATCTTTATCCTGTTGTACTTTAATAGACTTACCAGTGTTTTATTTACTATTTTCCGGAAAAAGGGCCAACGCAAAAGAGCATATGAATGCGTGGAGCCCCGGGAAACTTCCGGGTGTCTTAATAGGCCAGTCTGCATATGTGATTTTGTAAATTCTTGGATTGCAAGCTACCTCACAGTCGCCATGCTGGATAATTTTAACAAAGGACTTTCCTTATCTACAATGTAAATTTCATCCAACATGGCGAGCATTCCATTGTTCTCTTACTCCCAGGGAGATGGTTGCAAGCCACCAATAAATACGTTCGGCAAACTGCTTATATATAGCTACGTTACTTCATAAACCATGCACAAGTAATGCCCTTCATGATAAAGTGGAGGAAACTCTGAACTTTCAAAGAACAGAAAATTAGTCATCCTGCTTTCTTTGTTTACTATAAAAATGGCCGTTGAGTTTGCAATTCAATTTTACAAAAGTGCTTACAAATAAAGAAACTAGATGTACACCGCACTTGACTAACTGTTTAGATGAAACAGCTCCATTAATTTGACATATCTGAGTGCGGTTTGTCAAGTAAGATGTCAATAAAGATAAAGCATTTCCGTTTATGCCATACAGTTTAAATTTATTTAGTAAAATTTCACGATCAACAGTGTCGAAAGCCATTTTTAAGTCAATGAACACAACAAGGTTGAATAATTTTTGTCAATATTTATATACCAGCTATTGGTACAATCTAGTAAGGCTGTAGCTGTTGAATGATGCTTTCGGAAGCCAAATTGGGAGTCACTTAGTAATTGAAATTTCGTTAAGTCATCATAAAAAGTTGGTCGTATAAAATGCTCTCCATAATTTTGCTGACTGCCGGTAAAACAGAAATCGGTCTGTAGTTGGTTGGCAAATTCTTTTGGCCGTTTTTGAACAATGGAATAAGTCTAGCAATTTTCCAATTATTAGGAAAGTTACAAGATGTAATAGAATGGTGAAATACTAATGTCAATGAGTCAGCAATAATGGGCGCAGCTAATGGAAATTTTTTCAATACCAGTAGATTTTTTATAGGAAAGACTACATAACATTTGATAGTTTACTTTTGGTTACAGGTTGAAAATTTGAAAATACCGATTTGGGATTTTTTATAAACTCTTGAAAGTTACAATTTAATGAGTCAAGTTTTTCAGTCAATTCAGACCCAATTTTTGAAAAATATAGATTGAAACCCTCAGCAATATCCTCGGAGTTTGTCAGATTGATGCCATCTATACTTAACTCATTGACATTGCCCCGTCTGTTTTGACTGCCCAATAGATGGTTGATTGTTTTCCAAGTCTCTTTTGGTTTGTTCTTTAGACCAGCAATTGTCCTTGCATAATAATTTTGTTTAGCTTTTCTCACTTCTATGTTGTTAACTTTATCCCTTAGTTGCTTAAACATATTCCAATCAGTTTCATTCTTGTTTATGATGGCTTTTCTCTTGAATGCATTTCTGTCAATAATAAGTTGTTTAATGTACCTTGTAACCCTAGGTACATTTTTGGATTTGATTTTCTTATGTTGCACAGGAGCATGTTTATTAAGTACTTCATTAAATAGCGTTTTCCATAAATTCCACATGTCGTTGGGATTATTAGCAAAATAAAATATGTGCTCCAAATGCTGATAAGTTAAATCTTCAATAAATTTTTCACTATTGAAATTTTTAATGTTTCTAATTTCAAATGTATTCTCATTTTGTTTTTGGGAAGTTAATTTTCCTAACCGCAAATATCAAGTTATGGTCAGAAATTCCACTATGTATGACGCCAGAATGGGAAATATTGTCTGGGCTATTAGTTATTACATGATCAATAAGAGTGGAGGTTGACAGTGTTACTCGCGTGGCCTCATTAATGAGTTGAGAG